GTTCTTGCTATCAACTTATCATCTGCTATCGTTAGGGGCTAGACCAAAGTAAGTCATTCTTTATTTTGTATTTACGATATTTCCTTTGTTGTTTGTATTAATGCTTATTTCTCGCACTCAGTTATTTTATAACCCCTCTTCATAACCGCCATGATAGATTTGCTTTCCTCCACTTGTGGACGCCATCTTGAATTTCCCACAAGAAGTTTGAAATCGTCTTCGGACTGTCAAACGTTTGCGCATGCGCAAATCGTAACACTGTCCCTTTTAGTGACTGACAGTGAACGTAAATAATTTACCTTTTCATTTATACTTAGTTTACTCCTAAAGTCTCTTTGATAAAGGCGGGTAAACAGGAGGTTAATTCTGCTCGCCTATCCAGCTTTATATGAACCCGAGATAATATGAGATAACATTTGTAATCTTTCATTTTTAACCATCAGCTGTAGTCCTTTGATTACACTGCTGGCGTATTTTTCAAATATGCAGCCAGACTTAATGGGAGATGAAATTCGAATGATCACCTGTTGATTGGTTTTCGTTTTGGCAAAGAACGATAGGTTTCTTCTACAACAGAGTGCGCTCTCTACTTCCTAAGATTGTCTCTGTGTGTATCCATCAACACTGTAGTGCACAGTGATTTAGCAAACCAGGCCACAAAACGTCCCTTGCTGATAGGCCAGCTCAACAATGCTTCAGTTAATTCTGGCATGGAGGATTTAGAAAACATTAGTGGTTCACAGCATTATACCATTGTTTCAAGGAACTGGGAGACTAACATAAAATTACTTTTATCTATTTGGTTCAGGTGGCTTTAGTTAATCCCGAAACGTATCTGAAGTCAATTCAAGAGTAATCTGCTCTGACAGGTGGACCTTTAAGTTAACAGCTGTGTGAAAATCGACTAAAAATATGAAATTTCACATCTTGAAAGCTCTTTTCTACCACAATTAACAGTAACTTCGTGGTCTCATTTGGCAATTTGCTGTTGTCTAGAAGAGTACAGAGAACGCTGCTCGCGTCAACGTGTCACTCAGCATGTCACTGAAAGAATCGTTTTATTCCACGCAAATATTGTGGTAGAATCAAAACAGCAAAGATTTGGCGTGGATTTCATTCTTATTGACAACGGTATTCTTCATCACACTGGTCATAATTTGCTGCCTATTTTTCCTTGGTGACGTAATCGAAGCGCATGTCTTTATTAACTTCTGACTTCTATTGGGTCGAGGACTTTTACTTCACGCAAGTGATCCTGAAACTAGAGTAAATAGATAAATAAATAAATAAAAGAACTCTGAAATTTTCATTCTGGACGCGCGTTTCCTGCTGCGCAAGGACGGTGCAATTTTGTCAAACAAAGTCAACCAAGTACTTTTGCAGAGGTAGAGCGCGTTATTACGAAGCTCTGTCCCCCTTAAGACCTTTTCTAAATGTATTGACGAATTTCCCTCGAAACTAAGTTACATAAGATGGCTAAGCCATCAGAGTTTTTGTGTAACACAGTTTGATGTTACATAATTACGGCTGACAAACATTGTTAAAGGTTTGAGACACCTTAGAACCATTACAATGTTTGGTCAAAGCTTGAATGAAAAGAAATATCATTTTAAATGGAACTCAGTCTACACGTTTATGACAAATTTGTAGAACGGCTTTCTTTTTTCCCTTTTATCCATATTGTTCCGCCAATCATGTTAAAAAATAAAGCAGTAGAAGAAAAAGTACATGACGTGAGTCGAAAATGAAGTTTGAAGGGAATCATCGCTTATCAACGACAGTTTACTAGAAATATCTTTCAAAAGTAGTTGTACCTCTAAGTTCTAATCAATCAGCCCCCGCTGTCCCCATACGGTAGCATATGCAGTCAACAAGTTGACAGCCTGCCTCGTTTCCAATAGCAACCTGGCTTCCAGCAACCAATTACGAGCTACATTTTTAGGCTCCCCGCGAAGCTGATTTACCACTTGCTTCGCTAACTTCAGATCTCCACGCCGAAGGTAGTACTCTGCGCGCGCTAGGAGATCAAAAGTATGTTTTACGGGATCAAATGAATCAAAAATTAGGAAAGATTGGATCTACGACAGCACGTGAGTCCATGGTGAAGCTCCGTTTTCTCCTATCATGGCTACTCGTCGACACCATCTCCGGATCTTGTAAAAGCGACGCGTCACCTTCTCTTTGTTCAGCACTCCTCTTAACACAGCCTCTTCTGGTAAAGAGTTAAGAACTTGTGAGACCAGTGGATCCTCTTCCGCCGCATTGTGAATGGCTGTCAACTGAGGCAGCAGCGGTTTTGATTGAGTAGCACCTTTGTCGATAGCTGTAGTCAGCGACTGACAAGCTGTTCACAGATTTTGCGCCTGCTTATTTTGTTTCTCAACATCTGCTCTTCCCTCTATCACTGATACCACACCTCGTAACTGAGCAAGAGCCCCAGCTAGCTGCACCTTAAAAGCCTCTTTTTCTGCGGCCAATTTTTGTTGTAAGTCATCTTCATACCTGAGAAATGACACTGTTTTATTAGAAAGGGTAATTGTAAATGTAGCCCGTAACATGTGTATGTAGGAAGTCTAGGGCGGGGCGTGGGGCGGGGAGGGGGGGAAGAAAGACATTTGTACTTGTTTTTTTTTTCTGGATTCAAGAATTCCATATTATTTTATTCAATGAATTACTTTGGAAATCTTGTTGCTCTATTTAAACTACTGTTAAACACAAACCTACTGAATTTCTTTCGCATGTTGAAAGAAAACATCATACTAACTTCCATGTGGGCTAAGTCCTCCTTCTGACCCACTTTCGAATAAGGGTAAGGTAAAGCCTACTCAGGAGCCATGTGGCTCATCGGGCCGGCGCTTAACTCCGGTTTCCGTAGCATGAAGCGACTAG